CCAGAAAAAAACGCGTGCTCGTTTCCACGGACGTGGCCCGGATCCGCTCTGCGACTGTAGTTCCCGCTCACTGAAACCGTGCCCGGGCTGGATCCGTGTTACAGCAGTGAAACGGATGTGACTGTAAGGCGGATTTGCCGGTTTTAAAACGGATCTGGCGCGGAGTCAGCTGCTGTCTGGGAACTTACTGTTCCCTTTCGCCGGTTTTAAAACAGATCTGGCGCGAAGTCAGCTGCTGTCTGGGACATCATATTACTTTTCTGAGGGTTTTCTTTGAGCAGGACTCTCATAAGCATCACTAAAATATTTTCATAAATGAAGGCACTCACTGCTCTTGGCATCCTGTTAGGGGGAATGTTGTCCTGAAACAACTGTAAACAAACTGCAATTAAATATCCTAAATTGGACTGAATTCTGGGCTGAAATGTGCTATTAAGTCATTGCTGTATGGTTCATTAGATAAGCGCAGTACTTAAAGAATTAAATGACAGATAAATGTGGGCTAGTTTTGGCTATGTTCACACCTCAAGCTCCTAATTACAATTTTCTCCTTTGTTTGCTTGTGAAGTCATTCACAGGACATCTTAAAGGGATACTCCACCCCAAAATGAACATTTTGTGACTGTCCCATTGACTGCCAAGTAAATTACACTGTCAAGGTCCATAAAAGTATGAAAGACATCGTCAGAATAGTCCATCTGCCATCAGTGGTTCAACCGTAACATTATGAAGTGACGAGAATACTTTTTGTACACGAAGAAAACAAAAATAACGACTTTATTCAACAATTCGTCTCCTCTGTGTCTCTCCGCATCACTGTAGTGCCATTTTGGAGAATATCCACTGAACGCAAACTGCGTATGCTATTCTGTGTCGAACGATCCTGTTTGGAACGACATGGGGGTTAGTGATTAATGACAAAATTTTCATTTTGGGGTGGAGTATCCCCTTAAATGTTACTCATATGGGACAGACACACTCCTAAACCGACCTGCATAAAACACCCTCCTCTGGTATGTTCATTATATCAACAAATTTAATGATGATATTATATGTTTCCTTATTTGCATTAACATTTATCTTGTCACTTTCTACAGTCACTGTTCAAAGAAAGTGTCACAACTTAATGTACAATCAATATAAACAATTACATGTCAAAAACAAAAAGTGGATCCCATTGCAAGAAACAAAAATAATCCACGTCCAGGCACTGGACAAAATACGAAAAGCCTTTATTGTAAGACAGGGCTACATGTTAAAAAACACCAACGCGTATCAGCCCAAACAGGCCTTCATCAGGCCAGGGTCAACACCCACTTTTTGTTTTTGACATTTTGTTCCCTCTCTGGAGCACCCATAGTCTCGCTCGTGAGTACCTGATGCGCCCCTGGTCAAGACTTTTTTCTTTGATTATAAACAAATCAAATACTTTATATATTCAGCTCATTATTATTTTATGATATAGTGAAAGTGACGTGACATGTGGCCAAGTATGGTGACCCATACTCAGAATTAGTGCTCTGCATTATAGAGGGTAAATCAAGCATGCAATAATGGCCAATGTAAAGCCACATCCATGTTGTGAGCTTTAAATAATCAGCCTTTATGCACAATTGAGCATCTAAAATCGCATGAAGAAATATAAAACAAAGTCCTGTTGGGTTGTTTTGTCAAAACTTCAATGTAGGTGAACTTGAGAAGCAATTAATTATCTTTCTTGTTGTGTTGTGATAGATAGATAGATAGATAGATAGATCCACACAAGAAGGTAGCCTAAGTCATACAGGTTTGAACAGCATTTTAATTTTGGACGAACAATCCGCAAACCAAAATACTGTGCTTTGTACTTGGCTACTTTATTAACTCCATAAACTGGATCGCCTTATAAGCCAAAGACTTTTAATAAGCGTTGCTTATAGTACGTGGCCATGGCAACCCATCAAAAGCATGCTTTGCAAAGCAGTCTTCCAAACATAATCAAACCGCGACGATTCTGTCGACGGCGTTTAAATGTATGATGTCTAGCGCTGAAAAATATCTGTTCAGACTGTAAAAGTTGTGTAATGCATTTCAGCCTTTATGCCGAGTTCACACTGCACGATTTTCAAACTCGTCGGATCGCCGTTGTTTTCACACTGCGTGACTATCTGGGGTAGCATTCAGTCGCTGCTGTGTTCACACTGCACGATGGAACCCCATCAAGGCTTTTAAAGGGACAGTTCACCCAAAAATTAAAATTCTGTCATCATTTACTTGCTCTCAAATTGTTCCAAACCTGTATGTATGAACACAAAAGAAGATATTCTGAAGAATGTTGGTAACCAAACAGTTGCTGGGCCCCATTGACTTCCTATAGTATTTTTCTATGCTGTGGAAGTCAATGGGGACCAGCAACTAGAAAAAGAAGAAGAAGAAGAAGAAGAAAAAATCTATGTCAACAAGCTGTAACTTGAAATGCAAGACAATACTGACCACACCATTCAGTGAATGAGCTCTCAGCTGTGAAAGCAAATTTTAGTGGGTCAAGTACTGCAATACTCGGAGGGCAACCCAGAATACATTGCCATAACTGTTTATATGAAAATGTGCATGAAGGGTAGAGTTTACACTAGTTGTATTTCACTGATGTCATTATGCATTTAAAAAAAAAGCCTCTCTGGGGTTTAAAATTTATTCAAATATGCATTTTCCTTATCGACTTGTTTGTCTTGCTTGCTGTGTGTTTACATATAGTCTGAGTAAATGAGAAAAAACCAAACAATGTTACAATTAGCCCTGTTCTCCTCTCTTTGCTCATAGAAAACAATTAGCACTCATCTGGCATACATTGACACATGCTTAATAGGATGTGTTGAACATTATGTATTAAACAAATGTATTTTAATGAATTATTTTGATTTACCCTATGACTTCATTATAAATAATGAGCTTGCAGGCTGCTTGAAATTTCAAGATGTCACTACAGATAATAGCAACCAGAAGCTATTTATACCTGATCTGACTATTACAGTGACTTTTGCTGATGTAACTCAATTAAATCAGATCGATACAGTCGCATGTGAATAAAGACTGTTAATTTGTATGCAAGCTACGACACAAAGCACATTTTTAGGTTAAAGGACAACAATTTGGACAGTAATTCAGCCTCTTAATCTATAAAAAAAAAAATAATAATATGTTCACATTAATGCACTGAAAGCCTGGGTATTATTATTATTATTTTAAATACTATTTATTTCCATATGTGTAATAATAATAATAATAATAATGAAATTATTACTGAGTAAACCTTTAGGGTTTTGGCTTACTCCTTGCTTAGGAAAAATCTACAGTTTCTTAATGCCTAAAGTAAGGTAAGTGGTCAGCCGGTCTATTAAAGGCTTTTCTGCAAAATGTAAGAAAACAAAATTCATGAAACAGCAAAAATGTAAATGGTAATGTACAACAAAAAAAAAAAACATTGTTTTTGGCTGACAGGTATTGTAATTAATTTTATATTTGCAAAATATATTGAACACAACATCCTGACAAAATACCCTTTTCTTGAGAACACACTTGAATTTGCAGTTTGCATTTATGAATTTATGAGTTTTGGATTTGCAGTTTGGATCTCGTTAGAATATATGTCAGAGTTTTATGAATTCTATAAAATAATGATGGTATTTTAATTTTACTTTGAAGGTGTCTGAAACCAAAATAGGCTATATAAGGAACACAAGCATTTGTGTAACTGAACCTTATGGCAACTTCCTCATGTGACAACTAGCCCCGGTTTTCCCTACTCGACAAATCAATTCCCAGTACAGTATGCGTGCTAAAACCATGACACAAAGTCACCGACAGAAATCGAATCACTAATGAAACTGGAATAAACGAGAGTCATTTTATAGATATTAATATATATATATATATATA